GTTGTTATATACAAAGTAAAGTACAGTAAATAATTTTTCAAGATCCGTTGTGTGTGTCTCTCTGTCTCTCTGTCTCTGTCTCTCTGACGAATGGAAGTTTTCTTTTTTTTTTTTTTTTTTTTTTTCTTCTTTTTTTTTTTTTTTTGTCTTTTTTTTTTTTTTTTTTTTTTTTTTTTTTTTTTTTCGTGAATGTATTTCATATACAACCAGACAAGACAAGACCGGACCAGACAAGACAAGACAGAGAGGAAGACCTAGTGCAAGGTCTATAACAACTACATTGACTCTACCACATTCTAAAAACATGGACGCACCTATAAGTGAGACAGAAACGTTTACTGTCGATGAGAAGACCAAACAAAGCATTCCACTATACCACCCCAGCCAGCCCTCCAAGACCAAGGTATCTTACCACTATAACCCAGAGGTAGCCAATTATCACTATGGTACACTACATCCAATGAAACCTTTTCGACTAATGTTAACTGACCATTTGGTAAGTACATACAAGTTGTACGAGAAGATGGACTTGTACACGCCAAGAAGAGCGACAAAGGAGGAATTGTTACAATTTCATTCCGAAGATTACATCGATTTCCTTCAGTCAGTGACTCCCGAAACAGTCAAGGCCCTAAGTGACCAGACTTTGGCCAAATTCAACATAGGAGACGACTGCCCTGTTTTTGATGGAATGTTTGACTACTCATCCATCTATGCTGGGGCGTCATTAGATGCTTCGAGGAAAATCATTGCTGGGATGGCGGATATCGCGATAAATTGGTCTGGAGGACTACATCATGCCAAGAAGTTTGAGCCAAGTGGATTCTGCTATGTAAATGATATAGTCTTGTGTATCATCAATCTTTTGAGAATACACCCGAGAGTGTTGTACGTGGATATTGATTTACACCACGGAGATGGAGTGCAAGAGGCATTTTACACAACAGATAGAGTGATGACGGTTAGTTTCCACAAGTACGACGGCGAGTTTTTCCCTGGTACAGGCTCAAGCGACGAAGCGGGGATAGGAAAGGGCAAGAATTTTTCCATCAATGTTCCCTTGCGGGATGGGATTGATGACGAATCGTATGTGGCATTGTTTAAGCTGATTATGCAAGTACTAATACCCAAGTTCCAGCCTTCCATTATTGTTGCACAGTGCGGAGCTGATTCGTTGGGTGGTGACCGTTTAGGACGATTCAACTTGTCGATAAAAGGACATGGAAGTTGCCTAAATTTTTTAAAAAGTTTTCAAATCCCGATGGTGGTGTTGGGAGGAGGTGGTTATACTCCCAAGAATGTTTCAAGATTGTGGTGCTACGAAACGTCAGTTTTGACTGATACCACATTGAATGGAAAGATACCTTACCAAGGAGGCACCGCTGAATGGTTTGGAGAAGAGGGATTACATCCTGAATTGACGGGGAAAATCGAAAACAAGAATACAAAAAGGTACTTGGAAAGTGTTCTCCAGAACAGTCTCGAACATCTCCGGTTCTTGGATTATGCACCTTCTGTCCAAATGTACGAAATTCCACCCGACCTTTAAAAGCATTGTTGATGCTATGGAAAAAAAAAACAGCCCATAGGTAAACAGTTGCTGCGAATTTACACCTTGAAGTGAAACAGAAAAACACACCAGTTCAACAATTGCACGAGGCTCCACCGCTGAGAGAATCATATCAGGTGCAAAGAATCCATAAGCCATATCTCATTGCGAGTTAAAAGNAGTGATTCCGAAGTGAGCTAGTTGTGCGGCCCCAGAGATTACGAAAGTGTTCAATTGACGATTAAAGTTGACAAATCATAGCTGAGAGATTATAGCACATGAGTCTACATTACGAAGCAGGATATTGCTTCAATATGAAACAAGAAAGTATACTTCATCCTCGCGGCTCAACTTGTTTAGGAACAAGAGTGATTTTGTCTGCAAATGTGGGAAAGTCTTCCTCGATACGTCACTGAAAAGAATTGACTTGGACCATCTGTTCAATTTCAACATTATTGATGGTGATGCTGGGGGGACGATACGTTGTTGTACCATGAAATAGCACGATGTCGAACTTCGTTGAACTTGAACTTGAACTTGAACAAGAAACAAGTACAAAAGTTGAACCGCAATTACAAATGAGCCAACTTTAGCTTGCAACACATCAATCATGAGGAAGGAGAGGTGCTTTGCAAGAGGGAATTACTGAGTGCAGCTGGAGATGTCCTTGCGCATTTAATTGCTAGTTTTACCATTGGCGTTTTCTTTCAGTCCAAACCTCAACACATTGGATTTCACCACCACCACCAACATCAACAAGTTTCAACAGAGCACTACAATGGCAAGAGATGCGC